TCGATGATTTTCAATGAAATGCATTTTACTCGATTTTACAACGCATTTCTTGAAGTGCCTGTAAACGGTGAAAATTGGACCTTTGACCTGACCTGTGACGTCATCGGTTTGACCTAGGTCAATAAAATTGGGTCACAAGGTAGTTCCCCGTTGGGGCTATCCAACGCCGTTTACCGCTTGTCGCTATGTTGCGTGGTTCTCGAGATCTTAGGGGGGGGGGGGCCAAAATGGCCCCCCCCCCCCAACCGGGCGCGTTGCTCGGCAGAGCCCAACGGGGCGCGGGTTAAGGGAGGGCACTGCCGACTTTTGGTTCCACTCTTTCCATGCAACGCCCATAGGGCTAATGTTAAAATGTCAAAATCAAAGGGGGCACGGTGCCCTGATGCTCCCCTCGTTCCGCCGCCTATGGCAACTCGGCAGGAATCTATAGCGTGTTTCATTTTTCGTTAGACTATAGATAAAAGTGACGTTGAAACGTGTCATTTTTGGCAATGCTAGCAAAAAGCACCTCTCAAGATTACTTGGTAAATCGATGTGTCAGTTTTGTTTGACAGAATATTATCTTAAATGCAACGATCGTTCTGACCCTGCTATTATGAAGTTATGACACCGAAGGCGCAAGGCCTGGATAAGGATAATTTCTTAGGAAACCGGAACTGCTCCACGCAAAATGTTAGTCATGGGTCTAATGGAAGCTATAAATCAAACGATCTGCAATGTAACTGTAAAAACAAGGGACATATAAGATAAGGATAAAAAATAAAAAAAACTATGAAATAAAACGATAAAACTGCCAAAAGGGTATCTGTATCAAACTTGGACGAATTTTATTTTAACCCACTTGACTGCACTTTTGCATTGATATTCCTTTGAAATAGAAACTGGACAAGATATATGACCTCTGCGATGATCGCATTTGACTGATCGCTCGGCTAAATTGACAGTTCAGTTGATGTGGAAGAAATAGTTTTAGTTGAAACCTTTTTCTTGCAGCAAAAGAATGAACCATGGTAAAAACCCAGTGCCATGGCAGGATGGCTAATCTCAATATCCAATCAACATTTTTGTATAATGTTAAGAAAGACTTTCGAAGGTTCGAAATTTCGGTGATCGATATTCGCTGAAGGAATTCCGGTGATAGCCAAGGTTTACCTATGTGTTTGAAATGTATTGTATATTTATTCAGCCTAATTTAAAGCACTAATTCAATCTAATATCCAATATTTTCAAATGCCTAGAAAGAAAAGTAAATCGGTTGAAGGTATTTGGGGTTCTCCCGTCGCTTTTTTACTAACCCGCAGTCTTTCTCAACCGCAGGGTGTCAATGGGTGTAATAAAACCACCGCCTGGGGCTGAGCGGCGGCGTCGCTGCAATAGTCGAGGTAATCCACCGCCGCTCGACTCTCTTTTTCCCTTCGTCAGGTCTATCCAGCTTTACAGCCGTCCATTTACGATCTCACGCCGCTCAAACCAGCTCGTCGTCTCGTCATAGATTGGCGACAAACATCCCTCACCGCCGCCGCTGCGGCGCGTCAGCGGGCGCTGCGCCACAATCGTCCCTCGGTGACCATATTTGTCGCAATAAGCTGGTAATGCGCCGGCCTCGCCGCCGCCGCTAGACTGACCAATGAAACTCTCCCCCGGGCGATTTGGAAAATTGTGCTCGGGCGATGGTCTCCGTCTGGCGACGCGACGGATTGAGATCCACGGCTGATATGAATTTTGTTAACGCCGCCAGATCGAAACTGAATCGCCAATGACGCTATTTGCCGGACGTTGGGGGATCTGGAGAGCGTTGTCATATTTCAACCAGATGGGATCCTCCGATGTGAAGATACAGCGACAAAGCCGCCACAAATGAAACGCTCTGTGGGGAATGGTGGCGTGTTACTTCTCGGAGCGCCGCACGGCCCGCAGAGCTATCCCTCAGGTTATTTCAGATGGCATAACGGCCTGGATTTGTTTAATGTGCCACAATACAGTTAAACTGACACTTGGAGGCATTGAGATTCCGAAAGAGACGCCATTTGGCACATAAGGCCATTTGGCCAATAGTCACTATTCAAGACGAATACTTCTGCTGTGATGGAGCACTAGCTGAAAGCACCACTGAATCACTCAGTTAAAGAGGCCGCTGTTTTATGCTGCAAAAATATTTTGACAATTTTCTCCGTCGAAAAGAGGTTGGTCTTGGCCACTCGATTCCTTACATTCGCTGTGTAGGTAGGTAGATAGCTTTTGAAATTAATTATCCACTTATGAGGTAATTTTGGTGTAAAAAAAAAACTGACAGTATTTAATGCATGAAAATATAATAATTTTCTCTGATGGTCATCATCATACGTTTTCCTCAGACATCAGCTATGTAACTAAACGGGCAATAATAGTACCTACTTCTTAAAAAATAGTACTTCTACTGTATTCATCTGGATCAAATTTTTTTAGGAAAAAAACCGACGCTTATTTGCATTGACTGATTTGCCGAAAACATACCTACATGAGTGTTTTTGTATGGCACAGCATGGTATTGAGCAGCATTACATTGAGTAATGTAAATCAATCTTTAGGCAATGATTTGAAAAATAGTTTGAAAAAGTGCTGAACCAGAATGAATTTAGGATGGAACAATTTTCAGTTCGAATCGCTGATTTGCCGTCATGTAGCACTGCTGTGGATATTGGAGACACATCTTAGGTCCCCTTGGCTTCCCCTAAAAAGTAAATTCGGATCTAGCCATGCATTTTGTTGAAATGAGCGGACAGCTTGTCTAAAACATATATAAAGCATAAAAAATAGTTTTTTTTAGAAGCGTGGGAACTGGGAATGTCAAATTGTTTTTACCCAGAAGGCAGCAAAAGAGCGGAAAGAGTGTGATCGTGGATTAGCCAATACAACTTCATTTTTACATGATGCTAGTTTTGTAAGAGCCGACCAAGGCCGTATAAGAAAGCCGACGCATATCATAACTTTGTTATGAACCACCAAATACCAATTTAGGCGCGTTTTCCGCCGCGGGGGCGTGGCGTTCAAATGTAGTTGATATGGCAGCCGCGCAGTCAGCTGATTTCCCGCCACCAGCTTATTGACCTACAGCCGACCGCGGGAAAACAACAACTCAATTACACCGACTAATGATGTTTTCCTATTTAGGCGCGGGCCGCCGCTCGCGCCAGAATTGATTAAACCTGACTCGGGGGATATTGGAGGCGGCGCGCCGGCCGGCGAGGATGGCGGGAAATAAGCGCGCGCCAGGCGTGGCGTGGTGCGCCGCTGACAGCGTGGCGCACCGCGGCGATTCATCACGCACGGTGTGCCTTCCGACCGGACCCGGGAAGTCAGCCGACCTGAAACGGAGCCCACCGCGGCCAGGGTGGAGGACGGGGCAGTCTCAGCGGCGGCGGCGGCGTTATGTTCTGTAATTGGTGGTGGACGGTGGTAGAGGCAGGGAAGGGCCGATTCTTTAATTAATTTTCATCACGTCTTCTCATACATGCCGAAGAATGATTATTCGATATCACTGCACGCTAAAATAACTTAAATACAAGCATCACTCGTTTCATAAAACATAACCGCCCGGCTTCCAAAATCGACTCCAGCTCCGACCCAGACTCTGGTCAGCTGTCAGAACTGTCGACTCCGACTCCGCAGCCCTGATCATGACAGCCTTATGTTGCATGATTGAAGAAAACAAGATAAGCATCGTCGTTTGACACAAAAAACAAGCATTTTAAGCAGAGTTCTACAGATTTAGTGTACAAGTGCACTACAAATATGATGAATATGCCCTAGTACCTGTTATGCGCATAAGCATTGGTGGAGGGAGATTCCTTCGCGTTGGTGTAGGTGTGCTGCCATACGCGTCTGTGGCCAGCTGAGCTGGCACTCACTTGATCTGTGTTGGTCGCGCGAGAGGAATACACCTGCGTGCGCAAGACGGACGACCCTTCGGATCCCTGAACCGTGAGGACCACTGCACAGATCACAACAGTACCTACAACCAAGTCATAGAACCTAAACTGCTTATCTGGTCCAAAACAGCACGTGTGGACTCACGATACACCGGATTTGGTGATATGCCCTTTCGAGGACGTATCCCTTAGCTGTTTAAATCACTGTTTCCTGACCGGACCTAATTATTTTATACCGGCGTTAAATGTAAGGCTCGGCAGATAAATTCTGCATTATTTTGATGCCACTCTCGGCTTAGTGTCAATCACAAAAAACTCGCAAAGGCTCCAGCTGTTATGTTGCTTAGTGCATCAGTTACGATCCCTTCGTCAATACACGGCGAAAACAGAACATATTAATGCCAATTGTAGAGTCAATTCCTGCAGCTGCATGTGAAGTATTATAACGGTCATATGAAACAACAACAGCGGCAGCAACAGCATCAAATATCGTTCGATTGCATTACGAAGTAATGTGAGACATGTTGACATTATACCGCAATATTGACCGGTAACAGGACGGCAAATGCTATTCCCGGTAATATCAGAGCTGTGGTCGATTGGAGCGCTATTGGAGGCATCCATCAATTTTACCATTAGGTGGTGGCATGGCAGGCTTTATTCACCGCTAATTTTATGAGCGCTCCTAGTCCGATGCACGCCACATTCCGGTCAATCAGAAAGGTCATTAGCAATGCCATTGCGTTATATGCGGTGATTTCATTCGCCTACATACCAGGCCATGCCGTTTGGAATTAATTCGCCCACAATCTGATCATTCTACCATTTAAGTCTATTAAGCAATGAAGAATTAATAACCGGACACTAATTTCAACCAGCTCTAATCTATCGAATTGCGGCGCCGTTATCGAATTAAGATCATTTACACCCGTGCCAGCTCTATTTCTCATCCAGAACGAGTCACTAATGGAGAGCGAACCGCGCCGGACGCTGATTCGCGGAGCGCGCCACTGGCTCCGCCCACTATGGATCCGGGGCGGAGTTAGGGCGGGGCGTCGGTGGGAGCCGGCTTGGCTAGCCGCGCTAACAGCCGACATTCTAACTGGCTTTCGGCGGCCGGCGGGACGGACGCAGTTCTCGGCCCCAAGGTGCCGTCAGACGTGTCGAAGGGACGGTTGTTTTCGTGTTTGCGCGGCGTGGCTTACTGAAAACACCCAGCCGCCAACTCAGCAAGTTTTCGGTGGTGGCAAGCGGCGGTGAAACAAAGACCATCGAAAGAAGTAAGCGATCCCAGTGCGACGGATTGCAAGGAAGTCGAACTTCAAGACCAGAACTGTTGCAGAAGTGGCTTCAAGTCGGCAGCAGAGACTCCCTACCAGTGTTACCAACAGTGGGAACTTTATCGGACCTTAGACAGTGGCTGTTGACAACTCCAACGAACTCTGACAATTAGCGAAGCCGCAAAGAGGGACTGGCAGCGGCCGATGCGGTGCTAAGCTGGCTCCGCCGCCGCCGCCGCCACGCCACCGCCCGCCGCCGCCTCGCACCATGCTACTGGAGACCATGCTACCCCACCTGGGCTACGGCGGCATGCCCTTCGGCATGCTCTTACCACGTCCTCTGGTGCCTCTTCCGTTCCCGGTGGCACGACCCAAGCCGATGCCGGCGATGGAAGGCGGTCACCCGGGAGGACTTCAGTTTGGCGTGCAGCGAATCCTGACAGGTCACCTGACTGGTCATTTGACGGGTCATCTGACGAGTCATCTGACGCCACCCGGTCAGGGGCACAACAAGACGGAAGAGAGATGCGAGAAGGATATGGATGAGGGTGAGTAGAGAGGGGAGGAGAGAAGAGAGTAAAGAGGGGAGGTGGTTGTTATCGGTACCTCAGAAGCGGACGGAGAGCTTAGTTATGATATCATTTACATGTTTGTGAATGGGTGTGGAGACGGCCTCAAATAAGTTTGTGTGGTATGAAAATGATGGTGTGAAAAATCGATATCAAAGTTGAATCTGTTGTCGAATAGATCTTACGACACCAACCACAAGCAAAATTGTTCTCATGTTGCTTTGGTGCGAGGGGATTCCTACAACATATATTTGAATGTACGGAACGAGTTCTGAAACCTGGTGCATGGCAAGATGATGCCACCGCCCGCCGCCGCCAATTCAATAGGATAATTCGACAGAAGGTTTGGGTCTGCTGAGAACATGTTTTCTTTTACAAACTGTCATTATATTCATGTTAGACTACCATGCAGTGGTGTTTATACAATTTAGACCTCTCAGAACCAAGGTTCCGTCTGGCTTCAACAGTGGTCCCATAACCTCACTGGGCCAAACAATTTCTCTCTCTCATTTCCATCTGAGTGGAGCAGTAAAGCACCGATCCCTCCTAAGCCACAGCCCACACGCCTCGGCGGTCGGTCGGCCCAACTCGATCGCGACGGGGCGGCCTGAGCCAAGGCGTCAGCGGCCGGGTTTTCCGACCGATTGCAGAACGAAACACACGCGGGGCCTGCGCTGCAGTGGGGTCGACATTGTGCCCGCTTGCAAAGGCGCACATGAAATGGGTGTTCATAATGTTATGTCTAAGAATTTTCAACCGCTCATCCTTTAGATAACCTCATATTCATTGAATAATGTGTAACGCCTATGCTACCATGGTATTGTCGTTGTTATCTGCATCACTTCAATATGATGATGTAGCATACATTTGTTTGTCTTCCATTTGTCAGACTTTGGGGAGTTGGAATCGGTTCTTAGGGGGATCTTCCGGATCAGAGGTGCCCTAATCACGCTGCGTCACGTGCCCAAGAGCTTTGATAAATAAACGCAGCAGAAAGGACGCAGATGTGCGTGAGGGCGTCAACTTCCCCGTCTTTCGGCGAACGGTCAAAGGCGAGGGCTGATAACAAATTGCTGGTCACGGAACCGAAATCCTTCTGGATTTGGGCCGCGAGGAAAGCCGCGACTTCGGTGGTTTGCCACGTAGTCTGGCTCGATGACGTTCATTTCATTCGCTACATTAATAAAATAAGAGAGCAGCTGTGTCAATTTCCGTTACTTACACTCAGTAGCTCGCCCCCTCCCCTGGCTGCACCAAATTATTGTCGCTTCCGTCTACCCCTAACTGCACGCCTGTAAATACAGGGTGTCCCAAAAGTAAGGTCATCATTTGTTTTGGCCACACTGCCAAAAATACGCGATGGATAGATATAAATAGGACATCATATGAAAGAGCATTTTATAAAATTTTATTCTGACATATATATGAGTCAATACATTGGCTCGTAGCCCCACATTTGCTGCTTTTCTACATGGCTACCATTTCGGGCCGCGTGCATGAATAGACTACGTTTGACTTCCTCCACTATTCTGGAGCGATTCTCTGGTGAGATGCCGCCTATGTTTGCTCGAAGGGATCATCCTTTAGTTCTTCCCGGCTCGTTGGGTTGTCCTAAAAGACAATCTTTCTGTTGTGTATCCAGAGAATAAAAATATGAAGGTGTAACGTCAGGTGACCGCGGAGGCCATTCAATGGCGTTGCCCTGACTGAAAATTACGGGATCTCACATCCACTCTCGGAGACAATGCATGATCTTTAGGACGGTGCAAGCATAGTCTCCATCCTGCTGAAACCACTGCTGGCTGATGGTGTCGGCACAGCTGCGTTGCGACGAGCGGAAGAACCACTGGGAGGACTCTCGGCCACCTCTCTTGATTTATTGTCACCCGATTCCCGCTGTCGTCCTCAGGACCTCGAAGCACAGGTGGCTAAGTATACATGCCCTGTGCGTACATTATACCTTTTTTCTGACGTTTTACCGGTTGAGGCGAAACTATGCATGAGTTCAGAGATAGGGCGAGCTGATAGGGTCTGCTTAGGGCCGAAAACTGGGCGGTATTTACCCTTTGTTTTAATGACGGACCCTCTCTAAGAGTTGAATTTCGACCTTCTCAGTTTTATGCCTACTGCTCGGTGCAGTTATGATCAAAAATGGTTTAAGCATGCAAGAAAATAATTTTATGGATGTACCTTGCACGTGTTAAAATTGGAAGTGATTCGGACACTTACTTCTCGAGATATTTAAGTTTTAAATCATGACCTTACTTTTGGGACACACGCAATAATTCAAGTAACCAGTTCAGCAAAAAAGGGTAAAAATGGGTAAAACAAACATAAGCAAAAATAAATTAGATTACAACCAGTAAGCTGGTCAGAAGGAAAAACTAATGAATTCTGGACAGCTGCCCATGCTAAAGTCATATCAAGGAGCAATAGGTGCATTTTTTCTAAATAGGCATCTAGACAGCTCCATTTCGTATATCCAAAGAAAAATAGGTTATAAATACACGCGATCTGTCACTAAAGCGATATAAGCGTGTAACAGGATGCATCAACCGCAGTTTTATATAACAGAATAACAACAGACAAAGGAGCCTCAGATACATTACGCCATAACTGAAGAATTATAACGCAGAAAAGAAATGAATTCTGACCACAGAAGAATTTCATTACGTTACAGTGCAACACTGATCTCACGTTCTGAAAACAAACACGTTCGCAGATTTGTGCTCTTCCCTTCAACAGTTACATCTTCTCAAACCACATTTCTTGTTTGAAGGACAAACCCTCAGAAAAATTGTTTTGGCTAAAGGTAAGAAGGCCTAGAGAAGCTTACGGTCCTCCTAGTCCTGGCTCCTACTCATAAGAGAATAACTCAGAGTGAATGTAGAACAGGTGCATTCATTGCTGATCTAAGACTCGCAGGCTCTAATCATGGACCATCGTTTTCGTGCAGACTACCGATTATAACCATGACATATGCCTTGAAATAACAATAGTCAGCACATTTTGATTTGATTAACCACATTACATAAACACCCATCAAACAACTCAATAGTGCTAATTATTCAGCTTTAGCTCCGTCGTAATTAGAGCTAGTTTCGTATTCACTTTGAGTTTCGGGATCATATTTTGTTTTATAGGTATGTGGAAGTTGTCGCTCCAAAGCCCCTTTTCCTGCCCCAGCCTCGCTCATGGTTTCCCAGTTCTCTGGGGCAAGTCGAAATGGATGTCATCAACCACCCATTACCGACAGTTGTAATGGCTCGCCTAAGTAGTGGCATGCACACAACATGACATAACCCGGCTGTAAACCCCATACAGACAGCTCTACATCGAACTGCTTAGAGGTGATTACCAGAAATGCTTAGTCGTGATTACCAGACGAAATCAATATTGCTGGCAGCATATATGGATTTCAAAAGCTCCGTTTGATTTTGAATTCCAGGTGAAGCGTAAATGCGGGAAGTTCATTCACTTTGATGGTGTAGAATGTAAATGTGGCATATTTGTCAAGTAGGTATTCAAGTTTTTACTGCATACATGCCAACTGCCAGCCATTGATCAGTGAATGATGGCAGCCAGTGCCGGCAGTGTCGCCTCATTCTGAAGCTTGAATTCCATCCGCGACTAACGTTATCTCATAGGTGCTGTAACACTATAATTTGCAGATGAACTAAATTTGTAAAGCAAAGGAATGATGTAAAGCACATCCAAACTACAGTTCTGGAAATGTCAGCTTCCAGAAAACATTTTAGGGCTTGAAATTGTGAAGCCGAGGTAAACCTTACCAAAATGCCTCGACAAAGCTAGCCGAAATACCCAAAAAAAAATTTACCAGACATTTTTAACCAGATACGTTTCAAAATTACACAAGTTTAGTGTGCGCAACGTCACCGAACATCGAGTACCAGTATCATTACGCTCCCGTGCGCGTGCTAAGCGAGCCAGTTGAATTAATACACACCTAACAAACTCTCAGTGGCGCAATGACGCGCAATGACGCGCAATGACGCAATGACGCAATGACGCAATGATGGTCCTGAGTCCCTGCCCCTGACGTATAGCACGACGGGTGCCTTTCGGAGGCAAAGACCGTGCCGCGCGCAATGCCGCTCGTACAACGATGCTGTGTACAAACACCGAAAGCTTTGTGTGAAATGCGGGAAATGTGCTGAGCGCGTGAGTAAAAACTGTGTGACGAAGCAAGACCCTACCTATAAGCTGCCAAACGCACCACTTAGAATAAAGACTTATGAGCAGATGTTGGGACATCAACCATGAAGAACAACGATTGGCACAACTTGGCCAAATTTGTGCCAGGTCTGAACAACAAAGTACGCCATCAATATCGTTCTTCAAATGTACAGGACAGCTGTTATTTAGAGCCCATGAGCGCACTAAAGGATTCGCCTAGAAAAGCCTGAGGACACACCACAGTCATAACTGTTCCATGTCATTCCCATCCCATCTCATCTGCGTCCTATGTTTCCATAATGAACCACCCATTTTTAAAACCTACCCGACAGGATATGTTTGTAATTAAATTCGGCCCAGCTCGTTTGAGGGTGCTTAAAATGAGTGCCGAAATTGCCGCAGCGCCATTTCGGCCGCCATTGTGAATGGCCGGCCGCTAACCGCACTGACAACAATAACAAAAACTGCACGCCGCACGCCATTTCCGGCCCGTCAGCACGCGCATTTCTACGGCACCGCACCTCGGCCGTACAGTGTGTCTAAAAAGAATGTACCGTCGCCACTACGTGGCGCTGGTGTCGCGAGCCGGTAGTTGGCTGAATCCGCACCAGACCACACATTCCCAGGCCCGCTAGGTGACAGCTGCGCAGCGGCCGGTAGTAGCGTAAGCCCGAACCTTCGTGACACGACCCGGGGGGGGGGGGGGAGGGAGGGGAGCGGGCGGGGCAGCGCGTGTAGGGAGGGGTGCTCCAGCAAGCTGGCAGTTGTCGCGGCCAAAGGTC